TGGCTTTTGTAAGTAAGAGCGCCCTCCCCCCACCAAAACATCCACAAAGCTGTTGTTGGAGGCCCCTCAGCAACCTTCAAGACAAGGGTTTCCAACCTCCCCAGTGTAACTCATTCCATTGAGGGCAGCTCTGGGCACAAGGAAGGCTTCTCACTACAAAGCTGCGGTCCCTCTCTTCTACGCTGAGGTTAAGGGACAAGCCCAGTCCTCTCTGTCCCTGCTCGCTTCTGTGCACCTTTGTCTCGGTCCAACGTTCATACCTAAAGCTGAAGAGCCTGGTACTTACACAATATCATTTTTCCCCACAGGTAAATGTTTTCTTTTCTCAGACTGAGGTACACGGGACACGTCCTCAGGGGGTCAGCAGCTCCATTTTTTATTTTCTTTTGGTGATATACTAGAACATCCTGCAAATCTCAACCCGGGCCGTCGGACGGCCACCATATAACTAAGTACACACTGGATTTCCATCTTATAACCAACTATGCGCTGGATTTCAGTGCTTGCTTTTGCATTCGTGTTTACCAACACACCATCTTTGCCAAAATATATCACTTTCATTGTCACAGGCTAACGAGAAGAGAACATAAATGGGCTTCGGGGTGATTCCCAAAGTGTGGTGCTCGGTAGGGCAGCAGTGTGACCTGGAAATGTTAGATCTGCAAACTCTTGGGCTCCACCGCAGACTCATGGGATCAGAAACTTTGCGGGGGGGGGGGGGGGGGGGGGGGGGGTACTCCACCATCTGGGTTTTCCCAAGCCTGCCAGGTGCTTTGGATGCACCGTCAGGTCTGAAAGCCCCTGGAAGGTGAAAATGGTGGGAGAATTGGGTGATCACACGACCACGCACTGACCAGCTCAGAGCCTGTGCCCGGCAAGAATTACACCCAGAATGCGTCCAGCAGTTCAGTCCCCACAAAGCAGCAGCCACGGCAGCTAACTAATGCTGCTGGCTTTAATATTTTGCGATTCTTTTAGCCTTGGTTATACTTAACTTTGTAAATCAGTTTTCGGGTCTCATTTGTACACAGCCATAAATGAAAAGAATTTAATTTTACATTCATGTACATTAAGCGCAATTTAAATAAAAACAACTTGAGTCAACACCGGGGGTTACCAAGAATGTCCTTCCTTTAAAAGAAGAGTATAGGGGCACCTGGGTGGCTCAGTCGGTTAAGCGTCCGACTTCGGCTCAGGTCACCATCTCACGGTCCGTGAGTTCGAGCCCCGCGTCGGGCTCTGTGCTGACTGCTCAGAGCCTGGAGCCTGTTTCACATTCTGTGTCTCCCTCTCTCTCTGACCTTCCCCCATTCATGCTCTGTCTCTCTCTGTCTCAAAAATAAATAAACCTTAAAAAAAAATTTTTTTAAAAGAAGAGTATATAACACTCAAGTGTAAAGGCCACTGCCCTATGATCTTTTGTTATTTCCCTTTATCTTTAGGGGACACAGAGTTTCCTATCACAGGTGGAGTGCACAAAATAGTGCAGGATGTTACAGAGGTAATACACTATGGTAATGGAGGGGAATCCAACTGAAGGAGTTGGGTGAATGTAGTAAGCAGTATGAAGCCAGAGAAGCAAGTCTAAAACCTTTATGAAAGTTTCTTTCTTCGAGGAGTCTTTGAGACCTCTCCTTGCCACCAACAGGCTTCAAAAGACGACATCCCGGGCACTGCCTTTCTCCAGTATCTGGCCAGGACCACAGATAAAGGTAAGCGCTTGTGTTAAAGACAGTGCTGGTACACCTGCTCAGAGTAGTCCCACCAGAACCGAGCAAGTGGTTTTGATAATAACTGACTAGGTTACGAAACTGGCTGCAGGATTTCATTTTGCTTGGTGAAGGTTCTCATCAACAAAAACAGTCACAAGTCCTTAAAGAGGACCCCGCTCTCTCATCCAGGGTCTCTTGTCTACAAAACGTGGGTGACAACAGTACCTACCTCTCAGGTTGTATGAGGGGCAAATGAACGAAGCCACAGAAAGTACTGGATGCTGGGCCGGGCAGATTCAGTACCTGATAAATGTGATCTGTTGTTTCATCACAAAACTTTTAAAAATAACACATACGGAGCTACAATTATATTTGCGTCCCGTTGCCAAATAATGATGGAAATCTACATTAAGAGGCATCCAGTCCCAGGAGATTTGGTAAAGGAAACCAGATTGAGCATTTTCATTCCTCTCCCCCAGAGTTTTCATACATGTTTAATATCGGGATAAAGAGAAATCTCATCCCTTTGACATTTTGGAAGTATGTGAGAATACCAAGGGAAAAATGTGGAATGCAGTTTATAAACCTCTGTAATCCCGTAGAATTAGTAGGAGTCTTCAGACATGTTCAGAATTTCCTGACGTGTCTTTTGAAATATGGTCCAGGGCTTGCTAGCCTCTCCATGGTACACACAGAGCCCCCGAGCATCACAAATGGTTTTAAAGAAAGAGAAGGATGACGGACTGGAATGAAGGACGCAACAGACAGACATACTCTGGGTTTTTCCAAACAGAATGAAGCAAGGCTGAGTCATCACTGGGTGACAGAAAACCCAAAGGTACTGGCCAGTGTGGAGTCAAAAGAGCAAAATAAAGTGAATGAACAACTAGAAGATGAGGAGATAGGACCCCATGAAATACAAATGGGGAATTTGGGGGATTAAGTCAGGAGCCCAATGGTGGTCCTCATATTCAGTCGGATAATGAAACACTCCCTGGAGGAAAAGCTGGATTGTCACCTATCATCCAAGGGAGGAAAGACAGAGTCACACCTTCCTGGAGAAGTCGGTCGGCACCTTTAACAAGACACAAGGGACAAAGCAATTGACAGAGCTGGGCTGGCCCATGGGGGGTCTGGCTGCTGTTCATGCAGAGCTGCTGGGCAGGATCCTCGGGAACTGCCCAGGGTAGGGC